TCTATTCAACCAAAGAAAAACCTTGAACAATACAAAATGGCGCCACAAAATTGCGTCATTCTCCGACACGTTACCTTAGTATTTGTCGTGACTGTAAATGATCTCAAACTCCTTGGAGGGGTACTTCACAAAATTATCAGTCTCTAGGTCACGAGAGATAGATAACCTTTCTTAGTGTTGGTACCACAAACAGTACTGAAAATCTTCTCTAAAGTGCAGAAAACTGTGCTGTTTCCCTAGTCCCAAGCCGACCAACACGAGAAATGTTTCAGGAAGCTTCCCAGTCGGCACGTGTTAATGGCAACCGTAGCCAGTGAACACAACTGTCTGTTATACATCACTGATGTGACTACGAAAGTTCGCTACCTTGGCGACAGCGGCGCAGAAGTTAGCGTTCTTCCAGCGAATCCTAACGACCGACGGCGTCAGGCAGTTTTCAACTTACAGGTGGCAAATATGAAACCGACTGCCACATATGGTAAGCGATATGTTTAACTTAATGTGGGTTTACGCAAACCTATTCACTCTGGTTCTTCGTTGTTTCAGATGTTTCAGTCATAATCATAGACTTGCTATAACATCATAATCGACACGGGAAAATCGGGGTTAGTAAACGGAAATACTAAATTGTATGTATATGTAGCTTCTTCTGGTAGTAGATCCTCCTCAGTCACAGAAAGGCACGTGAACGATCCATGCTATCAAAAATTACTCGGTAAGTACCCCGAGATATACCAAACGCTACCAAAATCGTCATGCGTAACCAGCAATGTTACTCATCACATCACGGCTGCGGGACGACCTGTGTTCTCGAAAGTGCGCCGACTAGCTCCCGAAAAGCCGAGGTTGGCCAAAAACGAATTAAACCACATGATAGACTCAGGAATCGTTCGGCCATCAAACAGTCCGTGGGCATCTCCGTTACATATAGTCCCCAGAAAGGACAGTAACGCCTGGCGTTTGATTGGTGGATATTGGCGCCGAAACGCGAAAACCATTCCTGATCGTTACCCGTCACCTCACATTCACGATTTCACAGCTATCACAAACATTACAACTGTTGTTTTCGAAAACCCATTTGGTTGAAGCATATATAGTGGCCTTGGGTTCTAACCGCACAACTCTCAGTGCTGAACACGAGACAACTGGGAAAACGGATGTTTAACGTGTGATGCGGAGAAAAAACCAACGGTGTATAAGGCGGAGACAATGGATTGAGTTAATTCCAGTTGATTGGATTGCATGGTTCGACCTTGCGGGCGTGGTCTCTGTTGAATAGTACCTTATATTAAATATATTGCTCTATCTTTTGCCTGAATTCGTTCTCCATCATATATTGGTAATTGTTAAGATACGCTGAGTCAGTGTAGACAATGTTGTGACTTCCACGTAAGATCTTATAGATTAGGCAGTTACATCATGACAAATCTACCATTTTATGATTATGTCTATTATTAGAGCATTATTAATATCATCGTAGACCATGATTGTACACGTATAACCGAATACTCACTGCTTCTGACGTCATTCCTGAAACCGATATCATCACTCGTTTCGGTCTCTACGAATTTTCGTGCATGCTTTTCGGCTTAAGAAATGACGCACAAACTTTACAGAGATTCATCCATGAAGATTTTTGAGGTCTAAACTCCACAGATGAGTATTTCGGTGACTGCTTCATTACAGTCCATACAGAGATTCTCATCTCCATTTTCTGAACCTTGTTTTCGAACTACTATAAAATCACGGCATTACTGTAAACATTCAGAAATGTCAAATCGGCACTGACTCTCTAGATTTTCTCGAACATACTACTGATGATCAAAACATCCGACCTCTAAAAAGCAAGGTAGCGACCATTCTGGATTACTCAGAACCGACCAAAATCAAGCAATTACGCACGCTTAATGGCTTAGTAAGTTTCTATAAATTGTCCATACCAAATTGCGCCTCTCTTATGAAACCTCTAACAAACCAACTTCGTGGATATACGGAATCCATCAATTTGGACGATATCGAGAAAAAGCATTCTTCATAGATAAGGAACTGATTACCAAAGTAACATTTCTCACACATCAGAACACCAAAGCACTCATTAACATCGCATCCAGCTAGGAAATCGGCGGAGTCTTACAACAATTGACTACCTACACCCGACAATCTTTGTTAGTTTTCTCGAGACGGTTGATAGACATAGTGTCGAGGTATGGCGCTTTCCGTTGGGAATTCCTACTCATGTATTGTGCTGTACGGTACTTTCGAAACTCTGTGGAAGGCCGAGAATTCACTTTTTTTCACCATCCAAAAGGATCCTAACTTCTCGTTAAGCTCATCTTCAGACAAGCATTCCACTCGGGAATCTCGACAATCAGACTAAATTTCGCAGTTTGTTTTGTATATACCTTCCTGAAAAAATGCCGTTGAAGGCTCTTTGTCTTGTACAACTTTCTTGAACAGTTTCCAAGGGGTAGACGTACTTAAATTCGCCCAGATTCAACAAGAAAACACTGATCTTCGGCATCAGTTATCTTCCACAACCCTGAGACTACGTATTGAACAGATGGGAACAAGTCAATAGACTCTGCTGTGCAACACATCCACAGGTAGAGATCGCCGAAACATTATCGGCGCAACGTCCTTAATATGCTGCATACGCTTTCTCATCCAGGTGTTCGTGCATCCACCAAGCCTCATAGCAAAGTGATTTTGTTAGCTTAGCATAAATATTGACGAGACAGATCTGACTCGCTTCTGTGTAAGCTGTCAGAAATCCAGGGTGGTTAGACATTACACGTGTCCATTAGACTCTTTCAAACTCCCAATGCTCGTTTCGATCGCGTTCATCTGAATTCGGTAGGAACTTTACCAGATTCAAATGGGTACTCTTATCTCTTAACATTTTCGGACAGATTCACTATGTGGTCAAAAGAAGTACCCATCAAAGACGTTACTGATGAAGCAGCCATCCGCTTTTGTCGATCTGTAAGCAGCGAATTTCGACTGCCCTTCAACTATCACTAAGGAACGTGGACGCTAGTTCGAATCTGGACTTTTCTGTTGTCTGATTACATTATTAGAAATCACACGATTCAGAACGACTGTCTACCACCCACAAGCAAATGAGTTGGTAGAACGCTTTCACGGACAGCTTAAAGCTTCACTCCCAGCTGCAGACGCTTCGCAATGGACCGACGCTCTTCCACTCATTTTTCTCGGTATCAGCAATGCAGTAAAAGCTGACATCGGATACACTGCAGTTCAACTCGTTTATGGAACGACACTCAGATTTTCAGGAGAATTGGTGAATCTTTCATCTTCTCACACGGACATGCTTACAAAAAGAATGCGTTCAGTCAAACCTGTCTCCAGTCGACCTCAACCAAATGACCTGCACTACGATATATTACACACGTCTTTGTACGTAGTTACTCACTACGACGGCCACTCGGAGTGGCGTAAGAAGGACCTTACGAAGCTCATCAGCGTGTACTCAAGTACTAATCGATAAGAACGGAACTAACTAAACGATTTCTGTACGTTGGAAACGACGTAACACTTTATTTCGCCTCAATTTTTTTTAGTATCGAAAAAACAAAACGAATATTTTTAATATGTGCACACACATATTCTTTATTCTAAAAGAAACAAGAAAAATTCGTTTTTACTGTTATGCTAATATGTGCATATATTTTTTCAAAATACAACGAAAAATTCATTCTGCAAAAATCGTTTTTATGCTACTAGATGTTTGCAAAACGCATGTACATGAGTTTGTTTTCTTATTTTCGCACGTTTTATGTCTTCGTGCGCGTACGTGTAAGTTCACACGCACTAGGATTTTCTTTTTTCTTTTTCAGAGCGTCTGGAAAAGATGAAAAACCGACGAAGTTTGCGATGACTCGGAAGTTTTTATATACCTGTTTTCCATTACTATATTGTACCACATGGCCACTTATAGAAAGAAAAGACGACCGGACGCTGCTGAACATAGCAATTTATTAGAAGAGTGTTTACGAACGACAAACGCATTGTGTTTAAACGTCTGTCTGGGCACTTCTTAGGGTCATCACTACTGAGTTAAGTGAAAGTTTCTTCTACTCCATCAACAACCACTGGAACCATTTGGAAACTACTAATCCCAAGCATTATGCTTCTATCGATTATTGAACACGAAGCTGTAGCACCTCGCAACTAACCAAACGAACAAATAGTGCAAAGTGAGAGTTGGGGCCTGAAGCAGAATTTAATGTGGAAATTCTGCTTTAACATGCAAGACTCGCCCACTGAATGAACGGAATAAGTCCTGAAGATGCTTCGAGCCGCACGTGTAACGGACGTTGGAACACGTACGCGCTACGATCTAACGTAAAACTAGAAATTGTTGAACATACAGAGGAAAAATGACCATAAGGCTCAGTTACGACATAAAAGATGGAATGAGAACGATGAATAGATAAATACTACAAGTATTTGGAGTTTGACAACAACTAAACAAGTAACACCATTTTTAATCGGAACGCGATAACCCTGTAATTCAGAGGTCAGAAGTAAAGAGGCTCGAAGATTAGTCTAATAGAATATCGGTATGCCGAGAAGTGACTAGTCTAAGCTGATTAGTGGTTGTAGGGAAAGAGAAGCACGGTGTACTCACTCGTGATCTGGAGCAGACGCATGACCGAGCGCATTCAGCCAGGTGAGTTCGTTAAAACTAATGCAGTCATCACCAGATTTTGAAGACTTACAGAGCTATTGATTTTGGGGATTTATTTACCGCTACAAGTATGACTCCAGTCTACGCACTTTATCTCACTTTTCAGAAAAGCCAGAGCAGATTTGGACTCTTGCCTGACACGTGTGATATTAACTTTAATTCTATTAGAATCAAGGAGATTACTCTGAGTGCCACTATTCCCATCTAACAGAATATAAAGTCTAAAACCTTTTGAACCCAACCACCTGTTTTACGAAAGTAAATAACTGCGTTAGACCTTGAGGTTAACCGCTCACTGAAAAGAGTCAATTTGAACTTAACTTGTGTAACGGGTTGGGTCTCTTGGTTCTAGTTTTGATTCTAAGTTTGTTTTAATATGAGGCTTGTGTTATTTCTAGTTGTTGTTCATTTCTCTTCCTAGTAAGACGCAAGTGGATTGTGCGCGCTTACTGGGTCATCGACCCACCTTTTCTTATGTTTTCATCTCCAGCTTTAACGCTACACTGCATGCTCCTTTTGTACACAAAGTACCCTCTGGCTTGACACGAATCAATACACTAGACTCTATTAGTGTTGCTAGTTGTTACAAGTCACTCCTTTTACTCGGCGTAAGTGCATTTTTCAAAAGGACGGTAGCATTTGTCACAGGCTTAACTTCTTTCAGATCTGTGTTTTCTGTTCTTGTTCGATATGCTTGAAGAGCTTATGGCTTAGTCTTACTGGTTGAAGTGTACTATGCTGATGACCTAGGGCGACTTATCAGCCTATTAGGAAACGCTACCTAGTTATATCAATTGACAATGTAAATTGGTGGTATATATATATATATGTATATATATATATATTTATATATATATGTATATATATATAATTTACTGTTATAACCTGCATCGGTTTTGGCACCGAGCAGTATCCCAGCCCTCACATAAATCGAATGATTTATGTGGTGCATATCTATCTGGTGCCTCTTTATACCAATGTTTATGTGTTTAAATAAATAAATATAATATTAGAATAGCATTCTTGATCTGGATAATTAACTCTCACATGTCAAATTATCCGTTATAGTAAAAGACATAAGTCAGGTTTGCATATTAGAACTTGGACTAGCGCTGTGGTTTAGATTGATCACCCTACAGAGTTCTGGTCACTGACTCTCAATGACATCAGTTGTCACTTAAAATTGTTGTAGTCAGATATTAAGGATTAAAATGTGGCTTTTTGTTGGTTTTAAACGGTAGTATCCGTGTTCTCGTAATAAGTCTATAACAGCTACAATGAAGTGCTTTTTCACTCTTCAATTGGAAAGAACAACGGGCTTGAAATTCAGAGCAAGAGTAGTAAAGGAAAGTTATCACCTATCTTTATCTAAACTCTCTTGACTAAACACTGTATCACATCAAGTACTTCAGCACATATTTCATCTTAGGAGCAGATGTGTCCTGTTATTTTGCTCAACGACCACTTAACGTGGACTTTTTGGTTGGAAACATTTTATGACAACCATTGTCAATATTACTTAGTTAATATTAAAGTGCTAGTTATCTACTATTACATTTGCAATTTCTCACGATATACTTGAAGTGTTATCTTAATTTTGATCGGTGCAAAGAAAAAGTATGGTATATTGGAGGCTCTGAGCTATATATATATATTGATTTCTCATCTTGGTATAGCTACATCATCAGTTGGTAACTGAGTGACCAACCCGAAACCTTTGAATTGTATGTTATTGGATTGTTTGTCATACTGTTACAACGAATCTGCCCCATTACTGAAGACAATGAGTAAACCACGAAACATAAATACTCTGTTTAGTCCTTCATATTACACGGACGTTAGTTCCCACTGTCCTCTTCGATTTAAAGTTCATATAGTTTAATAGTTAAATCAGTAGACCTTTAATCACTGCGTTGTGTATTTGGGCCCCGCACTCGTTCTTTGACTTGAGCAACGCATGCATCATCAATGGTCATGAAAACGTGTGCCTTGAAGCTGAGAACATAAACATGTACTTGGAGACTTCCAGATTAGTTTGTTACATCCGTGAATGCCTGACGGCACAAGTGAACCCTCTTTACCGCTTATGTGTAAGTGATTTCCTAGTACAGTTATGTCTTTTAAACTTGATTTTTTGAAAATATCTGTTTCAGATATTCTTGGAATGATTGAAAGCAAAGTCCGAAGCTTGCAGTATATTTTTGAGTTCCCTCAAATTACAGACCTATTCGATGTCTCTGAACGACAAGGGCAGGGTACATTTGCCTCTGTCTTAGCAGTCAAAAGTAAACAAGATCCTGATGAATCCAAATATTATGCTTTGAAAATGATTATCCCAACAGTCGATGTTCGTAGAATTGAGAACGAAATTCGTATTCTGAGAAGATTGGGGTAATATATGTTTACTCATTTATACAATAAAATACTTTCAGTGGTAAACATAATGTAATTCAAATGCATACAGCAATGCGGATTCGTGATCATGTGTTCATCTTAATGCCTTTTATTGATTACATCCCTTTCACAGTAGGCTAAGAAATATTTATTTCTTATGCTTCATTTTTTCTTGTGAGGACTATTATCTAACTGCAGATGAGAAAGAAATCAGACGATATATGCGCGCACTCCTCTCAGCTTTAGCTCATGTTCATAAATACAAAGTAATTCACCGTGATGTAAAGCCTACAAACTTTCTTATGGATCAAAAAACGAAACAGTAAAGATTTGTCTGTTTAACTGGCATATAATCTAGATTTTTTCTCGTAGATTTTGGTCTGGCACATTCTGAAGAGTTTGGTGATATTGATGAAAGATGGGAGCGCAAATTTGAAATCAACTCTGATTCAGATACAAAGAAAAATGAATTAATGAAAAGAGTTTCAAGTTTTTCTCGGGTAAGAAATAAGATTTCGTTTTAACTATGGTTTTAATATTACACAAAATTAGTTTCTGCGATGACTTAATAACCGTTTCTTGAGTCTCTAATTGAATTAGTTAGTCATTTATTTCAAAACTCATTGAGGGTCAATGAAATCCTGTCTTAGGTCCTTTAAGTAGCTTCAAAATTTTTTAGTATAAAGATCCTAAAGTGAGGACAAAATCAAGCATTATATTAATAAAATTTTTCAGATATTCGTCTCCTGAGATGACTGGAACATGCGTTATGTCTAATCACCCGCCGCTTATTTCGGAATACTGTAATGGCTAGCATAGTAGTTTAGAAAAAATAAGTGTGCAGGTCAAAGCGTGACATTGGCTTATGGAGTCCTTGTTTCTTTGTCCAAACCATCTAAGTAGGTACAGACTTCCTAGTAGGGTGCGTGGCACAATCAGTGATTAATAATTTCAGGCCACACAGCTTAAATTTGATGGTAGTTGTATATCTAAAGGATACTCGGGATATTCTGTATGACGAATGTCCGGACTCCCTACGTGGTAGTTAGTTATCGATTTTCCAGACCACTCTCTATCAATAACTAACAACTATCTAAATCAGAAAGAACTATTATTTAACCAATCTCTTTTTGCCAACTTCTAGGAGGTTCGTTTGGTGTTCTCTTTCTGGTCCTAGTAACAATATGTCAGGTCCCAAGTCACATATCGCCTAGTATCATTCGCTTCCATAGAACAAACATAGCTTAAAGTTTAATAACTTAGCGTATTCAAAGCCACTTGTTAAATGAAGCTCTTGACAAAATTGTCCTACCATACTGTTTATTTCATGAATCAAGTTTTAGTTGAGACTATCATATAATCTGTTTGTTTTTTCTGTAGACAAATCTTAACATATCAGAGAATAACCAGCGTGTAAATGTAGCAAACAGAGAAAACAGTTATACTCATAAACGAGATTCCATGGATTCTACAAACTCATTATTCGCTTATAAGTGTAATTCTTCAAAAAATGATAACAAATCATCATTTAAAGGTGCATCTATCAAATCCTCTCAACAAATATCAAGTAACCTAACACAATCTTTAGGACAAGGAGGATGTGTTTGTGGTTCACGTCTCACTGTATGTCGTGGTTGTCGACATTTACCTCGAGCACCAACTGTTCGTAGAGGCGGAACACTTGGTTTTAGACCTCCGGAAGTAATGATGCGTCATATCGAACAAACAACTGCTGTTGATATATGGGCTGTTGGAATTATATTTCTTTCTTTCCTTTCTGGTCGTTATCCTTTTATAAAAGTAGACGATGATTTGGATGTACTTCATGCTTTCACTCATCTAATTGGATATGAACGCATGCAAATGGGTGCCAGAAGCATTGGTAGGAGACTGTTACTTGATCCTAGACCACCACCTATGGAAGGTAGTGATTCACCTATTGTCTGGCTTAAAACAAGGTAAAATGCGAATTTATTTGCAGTATTTTACTTGTGGTAATCCATTTTACGTTCAGTTTATTGTTCTGTAACTTCGGATAGTAACACTTATCTACAGTCTTCTTTATAATCGTATCGTTGATCATATTATATTCCTATCATTCAAGATTAGCCTCTAAGTGGATGAATAAAACACAAATGATCAATTATCTTTCGATGCATCTTGCTGGAGATTCTGCTCGAACCATATAGTCTGTCTAACCGCTGATTTGTGTGACTAAAGATACACAATTATTTCCATGCCACCTCAGCATAATCTGTATTAGTTGTTTACATGCGTAGATGTAAAGGTTGATATTTAAAAGAAGTATGATGGTTTTCATCTACTAGTCGGTGAAGAAAAGTGCTTCACTTTTAACAAAATAATATATTTTTTTTAAAATGACAACATGAAAATTACGTTGTTGTAGGAAAAAATTAGAACACTGAATGATAATCGTGTTTTTGTATTATATCTAGTAGTGGAATCCAAATCACGTGTTTCGTCCTATTCGGGACACTTTGTATGTATCTGTTAACTGTTTTTAAAGCTATAGGTACTGGATCCAGGTTTCATCGTAAAAATCAATATCATTGTGTATGATTTTCATACCAGATCCATATTCCCCCTGAGGCACAATCACCCATTTTTTTCAACTACCATTGTAATTATAATGACCTGGTTGAATAAAAAACCTTTAGATAGACCTTTCGTTACTTTCTTAAATAATGGAGTGTATGAAGCTTTTATTCATTACACTAGTTTTACTTTGAATTGTTAGTTTTCGTTGGATATTTTCATGTGTAAACTTAAATATTTTCAGTTGTAGTAAGGTTTAGATATATCTGGTTGATAATTGAACTTTATGTTCACACTTATCTATCTTACAATCCAACTTGCATTTATGAGTTGTTTGAGTAAACATTTAAGCATCAATTTCTTAGTTGTCTCTGTAGACACATAGTTATTAGTACAAGGGGGCATCAGATACATATGCGCCACACAAATCTCATTAGATTTGTATGAGGGCTGTGATACGACGAGACTCTAATTTATGGACGACCTTTGAATGAATCTTAAGTGACCTTGAGGAATATTAGTCAATCAGCAAACAGTCAGTATAGAGTAAAAATATATCATACGAAACCAAGGAAATAAAGTGGATACACTTCTACGTGGTTCAAAAACTTGTCAAGTTTAGAAAGAGGTTCAGAGGTTCTAAAATCGTAGTGCATGCAGTAGAGGAAATCATCCATATGGCTACAGAATAGTCGACCTCTGGAACCATGATAAAGTCTCAAAAACTCTCAGCCTCGACTACATACCTTCAATATTGTTTATGTGCACTCCGGTTGTTGAGTACACAAAATTCTACTTGTGGATATCGACACGATACACATAACCAAGCCTATGTAGGATTCTGTATGCTCTCCAAACACCCGTATATACTGCAGTACCTGGCTGCAGCCAGTGTTACTGGTGCTTTTATTATCCAGTTCACGATAATTGTCATAATTTGCCTTAGTTAAGAATTATATATGGGGTTTTCATCACGAACTGACACCAGCTATAATGCCAGAAATTTATTTAGCCAAATGAATGAAAGGCTTTCGCGTCAAAATCTGAGATTTGTTATCTTATACATGATTGATTCGTCCACAAATTATAGTCTCACCGTTTCATTCGTTATAGCCGCTCAATTATCACGTTTTGTACAAAATTCCCTGTGAGTCGATCGTACGTTAGCATTGAGCATTGAAGTTGGCGCCGTAACCTTGAAGTCTCTAAGACGCTTCTGATTGGCTCGTCCATAAATTAGAGTCTCGCCGGTTTGATCCACAAGGCAGTGGAGCATCGTAAGGAGATGCAGTCCCATGGTAGCCGGTGACTAACGATTGGTTCACATACTATTTATTCCCTTAGGGTACTGGAGTCCATGTGCACCGTTGGTTTGGAATCAGGGTTTTCCAACTCCCCTAGGTGGACTCAAAATCTTTTACCCTTAACTGATGAACTTCTCTATCATAATGTTACAGACAATCAGATTGTGAGCTTATATGCAATTGCCGGTAACTATTAGAGCGGACATTTGGGCAACTCTGAAATTAAATATTAGACCACTGAATAAAGGGACTAACTAATTTTTCGGTTTGTTCCAATTAAGGGTATTTTCGATCAGCTCTGAAAAATATATTGACGGAGACAAACTTTTGTGAAGCTATATCAAGATAACAAACTTTAATGACCCTTGTTGTAGGCCTAAGTGATATATAAAGTTTTCGATGAACAATTGAAGTTATCAACATATTGAAATGTGACAAAGGGGGTGTTCGTTGAAGTGACATAACTATTTTCGGTGCTACAATTATATTCATATTATATTGATTCTCTGTAAGAGGTTACTTCCTTTGATGTCCTCTTTTCCAGTTTATTTTTCTCCGTGATATTTAAGAGTACTGTTACACAGAAACCTGAATTTCAGTGAGTAGGATTTTTGTCACCCCCTTTTTATCATTAAATTAGACCCTACATTGTCTTTGTCATATTTATCTTATTGATTTCTTACATACTATTATTATTAATCCATACTTTCTCTTCCCTTTACCGTTTACATAATCATTTGAATAGTCATAAACTTGATTGTATGAGTGAATATTTCAGATTTGATATCGTCCTATTAATTATGATTTCTTGTAGATGTTCTGCAATTAGATTATACGAGAAAAAATTTGCTGGTCTACCTCCTTTATTACGTAAAACTACAATAAAGTCAACTAATTTAACTAATGATAATTCTGCACAAATTACAGAATTATCTAATGGAAAACCAGTGATTGCTTTATCTTCAACGCATATTTTTCCCACTTCAGCTTATGATCTATTAGCTCGTCTATTAGAACCATGCCCACAGAAACGTATTACTGCTCAAGATGCACTTCGTCATCCATATTTTTGTAATACTAAAACTCAACGACATTCTAGTATACCATTAAAATATCCAAATATACAATCAAATTCATTACTTCATAAACGTACATCTCGTTCAAGTTTTTGTGAATCAACAACAAATTTTATACCGAGACCACAATTTTGTTGAAAGTGACTAGATTATTGATTTTTTTAAAACTTATTTTTGTAATAAATTCAGATATTTAGTCGGGACGGAGGAGGGGAATTTTCTCCCATCGTTGTATCATTAACCCCCACCTATTGGACATATCACAGTAAATTAATCATATTGACTGATTAATGTAAACATCCAAATGTTGTACAGAGATTGTATCTTTCGTATGTAAAGTAGCTTTTTCAATGTCTTAGTAACATTGTAATTAAAGTTTAAAATATATAGTTATGTTTTATAATTTCTTAATAATTCACTTTCTACGTTTTTGTTCTCACTTCGTTGTTGACATGGAGTTAGGAATAGCATTTTCTTTATCTAACTTTTGAGAGATTAACTTTCTACCCGGAGAACCAGTTTTTAGCTTTAAGATAAGATTGACCTGGTTGTTGAGAATCCAGAGAAAACTCATGGTCTGCTGAATACCTTGAGTAACAATAAAATTTCCTTAAGTACAAAATTTCACTTCAAGACTGGTATGTGTCAGCGTTTAGTCCTGTCAGAGGTAGTGAAGTGATAGTGTACTGACAACTGTAGTTATCTAGTTAGTCTGGTAAACCGTTTTAGTTGGGCCCTTTATTTTGTGTTGTCATTTAGATCGAACGATGTTGTCGAAAAGGCTCTCCACTTTAGTGGCCCATGGATCTGACTCCAATTAGATCGTATGAATGTTTGTTATCGCCTATCCTCGTATATAATCATCGACTTAAATCGCGTTAGTCAATAACGGAATTAAATAAGTCGAACAACGAGAATGGACTTATGAATTCACATATTTTGTATATAAAGCGAATGGAATAGAGAGAAGAGGAAGGACTCAGAGTGGTGATGGCTGGTAATCCAACTCCCCTTTAACCAAGCGTTAATCAATATTTATGGTTACACAAAAGCAAGTTACAGACATGTGATGAATAATGGGATAAGAAGTGTACACACCTACGTGCTCATATAAAAACAGTCAAGATTGATAAGCGAATAATTTACAAGGTTAGAATGTGACTTAAGTAGAATAAATAGAATGGGCTGTCCGAAACGTAGAATAAGGTATATGGGCTTAACATAATAACCAACACTACACCGTGGTAGGTTGGTGTCTAACCAAATACTCATGATTGCTATTATCACTTTAATTCCTTTGCTGAATGATTAAAGTTTACAAATAACTACGGGGTTTGAATTGGAGGTTCTAGGTTCGAGTCCCGTTTGGAAATAGTTACATTACACTGATAAATCTCAAGTGGAATAAAACGTATGTCTTCAACTACGTTGCTACCCAAAATCCAAAATTACTATTAACCGTTGAATAGAAACACCTCATTTGGTGAAGTAGTGGCCTAGGTTTCTTACTTTCGGCCACAAAGTCATAAATGAGTCTCGCTCTATTTATTTCGGTTTGCACAGCTGGTTCGTATCAGTTACCCTTGATAATAAACTGTGGCTATGTTTTATGAATAATTTTGTCATTCTATCCTTTTAAATGAACCGAAATATCAGATATCTATTATATTTGTTTAGCTTTCGTAAGTGTTTCTATTCGTTCAATTTCATATACTTTAGTCCCAACTGATATTGATTTAAATGGAGTCTGCAACCTGATCATGGAAATCTCACATCTAAGTCAAACGAGATCAAACTATTGTTTAGTTGTGTGCATATTTTCAAAATATAGCTTTCGATTTGATAGTTTAAATCTAAATCAAATTTTCAAGACATTAGAATAGTAGATACAGCTAAGAACCAACTACCGAATACACATTAAAATGATTTGTTTACTTCAGAAAATAATGTGGTTGTAAGAGATATCTCTAATTGACTGAACATCGAAATATCAATTATTAGATGCTAACATAGCGAACTGAAGATTATTGGTGATTGAATCCCGGTCATTTAGTTTGTATCATGACTACCAAGTTAGGTTACCCAGTAGCATAGGGCATATTGTTTACAGACAAAAGTCTTCAGGCAGAAATTTGCACTTTTTCGAATTACCTAGGTTATTGTAATTAAGTATGAGACTTAGTTTAGCTTTGTATTGGTTGTTTTTGTCTTCCGATTGATGTTTAGGACTGCAGTAGATCACTTTTATTGAAAAACGCGCATTATTTGAGGGTTGCCTTATATCACAAGGATTGTAATCAGAGATGATGATGCCTAGCAGCGAGATCCAGGACGCGCGTTTCGTCCTATTAGGGACTCGGACTCAGTGTCGTTTGCTTAGGATGTCATCATATTGTACACCTAGCTATCGGCATCAGGCTCGAGTCTCGGAGTGGACACCAACTTTCAGACGTAGGTGCATCTAGCTGACAAGCCCAAAATAGGACGAAACTCGCGTCCTGGATTCCACTGCTAGCCATCATCCTCTCAAAGCATGAGACTACTTAAATAATATTTGAGTAACTCAGTGAGTTGTTGAAAATATTTTAAATCTCTGGTGAATGTGGCAGTGTAGTAGTGTATCTGGGTAGCTGCATAAGTGCTGATGGTAGCGGGAGTAATGAGATCAATGCACGTATAGTGAAAGCCAGAGCGGCTTATGCCAATCTGGGCCATCTTTGGCGCCTTCATGATGTCAGTCTGGCTGTAAAAGGTCAGATCTACAACTCGTCGGTGAGAGCAGTTTTGCTCTATGCTTGTGAAACCTGGTCTCCGAGTTGAGGACGTTAGACGACTCTCTGTGTTCGATCATCGCTGTCTCCGAAGGATTGCTGACATTCAGTGGCAACACCATGTTAGTAATGCAGAGGTTCGGCATCATGTGTTCGGGCACAGAGACGATAATCCAATTGATGTCACCATCTTGAAACACCAACTTCGGTGACTTGGACATGTTCTCTGAATGTCGTCCCAGAGAATTCCACGTTGTGCATTAATTGCTGATTCTGGGACTGGTTGGAAGAAGCGGAGAGGTGGTCAGTGCATGACATGGTGTCGTGGCATGAAAGAAATCTGCAAAGGACTGGCTTCTGTCGGTCCTTCACGACTCCCTGTTTGGGGTCTGAGAGATGGTGCTACACAGTGGTTAGAGACGTTATCAGATATGGCTCAGAATAGAAGCCAGTGGCGATCCTGCTGTAACTTTCTTTTACTTTCTTCATAAAAAGTGGGTTCTTCCTTCCTGAACTACGAAATTCATCATCCAGAAGATACAACAGTTTATTAACAGTTATCTACGCAAAATACTTCGGATTTGTTAGTCAGACACTATCAGCAACAACCTACTGTGTGAGAGAACAAAGGAGATTCAAGTGGAGGAAGAAATCATGAAGAAGCACTGGAAGTGGATAGGATACACATTGAAGAAAGCACCCAAATACGTCACAAGGCAAGCTCTCACTTGGAATTCTCATGGTGAAAGGAGGAGAGGAAGATCAAAGGACATATTTCTCCGAGAAATGGAGACAGACATGAGAAGAATGAAGAACAATTAGATGGAACTAGAAAGGAAGGCCTAGGACAGGGTGGGATGGAGAATGCTGAACGGCGGCCTATGCTCCATTGGGAGTAACAAGCGTAAGTAAGTAAGTATTATGTAAATACTTTAGAATATTACACGATAAACTTGTGCAACAATAATTAGTGTAGTTAGTAATTATCAGTATATGATTTCCACTACGATCAAGTTATAAACTTATTCATCTAGCGCTTGATTAATTCGACTGATCATAGATAGAAGACAGACTATTCGGGAAACTCAGTTCAATAAATGCACTTTCATGTAACATGAATGATTCAGGTTTTTCTCAATAAGTTTGTAGTAATATCATGATTATTAAAACATACCATACGATCATACATCCAATTGGTCAGCACTACTGTTCTAGTTTAGATTTTTCTGGTCTTGTTTGTTTTAATACATCATTATGACCATGCTTGACTTCGAAATCTCTAGAAGCAATGTGTTATTTTGTATTTAAAAGAAGATACTTATTGAAGACGATATAAATACCAAACAGCAGATTCTATAAATATAAACATGAATGACTTTTTAAAACTTAAAACAACCAGTACACTGATTTCATTTGATTTAAGATGTACTCCAAATATCTTTTAAGTTGGTTTACATTCTCTGTCCATACTATCTTCCTGTCAATTCTTTTGTGTACATTGTTTGGTACTACTTATTACTATTATTCAGTAAACAGTTGTATTCCTAGCAATTTCTAGGCATATGTTGTTGCACAAGTTTATTGTGCAATATTTTAAAGTATTTACATATACTTATAACATTTATTGTATTTATCATTATAATTATACTTTCTCTCAATCCCTGTAGCGGTTATTCTCAGTTTTCTATGGTCATTTAATCTTCGTTTAAACTAAACGGTTTCCATATTCATTTGCTCTTGGTTCTGTTCTTACCTGTTGAAAAACGATTACACACAGCTATCAGCTGTCATTTGTAATATCATATGCCATAATTAATCTTTGTGTTGTTGTTGCAGCAATCCCTTTCTATTTTAGACCTACGGACGAGCCAACCGCCACAGATACTTCACAAGTTAAGATTTGTAACTACTTTACATCTATTCCTCATTATAGAACCACTTTTTACACATCACTTTTTTTATGTTCTTCAGTTTTGCGTATATCTCAATCATGCAGTTAAATGCTTTGATAGATTTAACAGTATCAAAGAACAATTAATTGGAAAGAATATAGTTTATATTATAATCAAACATCATCTGGATAATTAAAGACAACTGAAGAACATCATGTCGCTATTTTATCCTATTTATAACTCCTTCATAATACCTTTTTATTATTATTATCATGTTTCAAACTTTTTCCAGAACTCTAAGATTGAAGGTTTTTATATCAATGAATTACCATTTAATCATATAATTAGTAGTATTATTAGCATAATAAGAAGGAACCAAGCAGAATCGAGAATTCAGCGCTTATGATCTAGCGCGAAAATTAAATGTCATCAACCGGCGGCCTGCTTGAATATCTGGGCTACCTGTTCCTCTGATCTAGATATTTCATCAAGTTATCTGTTTTGTTGT